TATACAACTGGAGCTGCATCCCAGTTAGGCTAAGGATTTGCAATTTGTATAGGATATATATATATTTATATATATACATATATTTCTAAACCAGATTTTATAGAAGAATAAAGTAATAAATTGTTTTTAAAATCTGATTTTCTAAAAATCTTAATCTTACTTAAGATGCAAATGATTTCTTCACAGACCATTTTTATTTTTAGGGATCATCTATCTTCCTTACTCTCTGTGGTAATATAGAAGTGTTTGTCTTTTTGTCAGTTGTACTGAACATCAATTTCTGTGCTCTAACTTCTCAGTAATACTGTAATATGAAATAGATGCTCAATTCATCTGAGAAAGTCATCTGGAATAAGCTACAGGCTTTCAGAAGTATTTTCACAAAAAGCAACCTGATTATCTCAAAAAAAAAAAGAAAAAAGAAAAATTTCAAGAAAAAAATCAAGGAGTAAAGGCTTTGATTTATTAACTGAAATTGTGTATCTATTCACAGCCAACTTTGTCAGACTCACTTCATTTCATTCACACATAGCTGTGAATGTTGGAATTTTGCAGCCTTTGTTTTTCAGTGTCTTTTTTCTACATATTTTCCCCAAAACTGTCTCCTGCATTTATGTGGTAGCACTGCTGATAATCATTGCAAATAGCACTACAGCTACAAGAAAAGTATCTTGAAATATGAAAATCTGTATTAGAAAAGCTGCAGGAGGATTATTTTGACACATTGTTCAATCAGTCATGCTACTAGCCAGAAAAAAACATCAAGTTTTTAGCCACTATCTCCCATGTGATACCCAGACATTTTCCACAAAGGTGAGGATTTTAAACTGCCATTATTTGAAGCTGTTTAGGTTACAGTGAAAACACAATAAGGAACTGCTGTAAAGACAGCTTTACAAGGAGTTCTACCAATAAGAGGAGATTGCCCTTTTCCAGCATGTAGAAGATTGCCCTTTTCCTTTGATTTCTTTTGGAAATATAAAATATTTAGAAATTTGGTTCAAAGAATACACAGTCATGTTCTCTTTTTGCTGTGGGGACTAAACTGAGGTGAACTGAATACAATCCCTTGTTCTGGAAACAACTTTGTGCTCTTCTTGGTACTTAACCGAGGGACACCTCAGAGCTTCAGTGTTCCCTGCAGTACAGAAACCAGCTATGGGTTGCCAGACCCCCATGTCATGTCCCCAAACACAATCTTGGGCTAAGCTCACAACAGCACAGCCCTCCACTCTGCATAGAAACTGTGAGTTTGTGGTCTTACTGTGCTGCCAGAGGCACTGGGAAGAGGCAAAACAAGGGAATGAAGCCTGGTGCAAATGTAGGCAGTGACACTAGAATGCAAACCAGAAATACTATGTCCTTTAAGCCTTTCCCAATTACAAACCTCTAAAATGTTCTGCTTAGGTCTTAAATAACTACTGATATTATCTCTTACTGCTTTCAAAAGAAATAGAGACTCAGAGTGGCAATGTTTCCTTTTTATAAAACAGATGACTTGTGCAGCCCCAAGAGCCTGTGCAGCCCCTCACAAATACGTGCACTAGGAAAACACATGAACTAGGAAATCATCAACCAGCAATGAGAGAAATACAGACTGTGGTACATACATATAGTTTAACTGATGAGGTAGTAAGACTTATTTTCAGCATCAAAGTAATATTTGCACAGACTTAGATTAGGCACCCTGTACTGTGACAGTGTTCAGAAGGGAGAACTGTCCTAGTTGCTTTCGAGTACACGTTGGTGCTTGTATGCAGGCAACTGGGGAATTTTATTGTCCAAAATATAGGTATTTAAAAATATTTAGGGTCTACTTTATGAATCCCTAAATAATTTTGGAAGTCTGGATAAGTCTCTCAGAAGCCTATCTGACAGAGCAAATTAACAGTATGTGTCTCCATTGTAGAGCCCTGCAGAGATCATCAAGGTAGTGTTTCCTGAGCTACTCATGGAAATGGAAGCAACAGGTTATACTACCACATCTATATGACAGTATGTCATGAGCCTTGCTGAGTGTGATTTTCCTGGACAAGGTGCTGCACTTTGGCAGACCAGCTGCTATATCAGCACTTAAGCCTGTGTCCCCTCCGCCCCTGCACCTTTGCAGTAGTACCAGTTCTTTCTGGGCAATCTCTTGGCCTTAGGCACCACTGCTGTGTAGTGCAGGGAAAGACAAAATTGCCTGTCATGGAGGTGCTAGTGAAAATTAGGAAAAGAAAAAAAAAAGATTTGCACAGTAACTCTGCTTCTAACATTTTTATATTGAAAAGAATATTTAGATTTTGTGTATCTAAGCATAAACATGTTTTCTGAACCAGAATTTGACTACAAATAGTTCTAAATGATTTTCAGAATTTAATAATCTTTCTTCTGTATAAGCTTTGCAAATAGGGATTACGCTGCTACTTAGCAACACTTAAAAGTTGAAAAAATAATGTTAAAATGCTTATTAGAAAACTTGCAACTTAAATATGTGTCCTCATTACGATGATCTCATGAAACAGCATTTTGAGACTTCTCAACATAATGACATTTGAGTCAAAGACCATATTGCTTCTGTGGTGTGCATGTTATATGGTAGGAAACATGATAAAAAGAAAGGTCATGGCAACAGCAATTTCATGAAAAATGAATAATTTGGTTATTTTCATGGTGTGGATCAATAATGCTCTGCATCTACTGAAGCACATTGCCTGGAGGCATTCAGATAATCAATGGCATAAAACAGAGACTGCCTGTACCCAGGCTTGCAGCCTCTCTGATCTTTCCTGGGAGGACCCTTGACGCCTCTAATTTGTGTCAACTGCATATCAAAGAAATTCCAAAGAGCCTGGGTCATAAAGCGTACTTCAGTGGTAACCATTTGAAGTCTACTTACATATGTTCCTTATGGAACAGTGTTTAAGTTCTTTCCTTCCAATGCCTGGGAATTCCTAGAAGGGCATAAATGCTACCTGGTACTAGCATAACAGTCAGCACATCTCAGAAAATGAAGGCTGGTTAGAAGGGTCAAATCTTTTAACTTTCTCTTCACTGCAAGCTGACAATAGCCCAAAGACAAGAATTTAAATTAACAGGGCATGTAAATAAATCCTTCTGCACCACCCAAGAATTCTCTTTAATGATGTGCTGGACACTGACATTTTTAATTTCATAGAGCAGCCATCAGAAAAAATTAGTTCTGAATGATATTGGGAAAAGACAGTTGAAGACATGATTTTGTTCAGTAATTTCTCTGTTCATTTGCAGTGGAAGAAGGGAGCCGGCATCTTCTTGCTGCCAAAAATTCTCAAGTCAAGGATACTTCATTCAGTCTGTGGAGTTGTGTTTCCCATCTAAGCTTTGCAAGCAAGAAAATAATTCCCAGCGGTAGTCTTACTACTAATGTGTTTGCTGTAACAGCATTTACTCATTTCTTAACAAGTTTTAGCTTACCATACTTTGAATATTCATAGACATGCACACACGCACACATGCACAGCACACTCACACACACACGCTTGCAGACACACAGCTAACATTGCTTTTCTATCTTCCTTGTAGCTTTCTCCAAAAATTTTTGTTCCCCTTTTAGCAGTTGACTTTTCTCAAAAAGACTTTTTTTTTTTGTTTTGCTTTTACCAATTGACTTTCGTAACACAAGAGATAGTGTGTAATCCTTTGTAATGAACTAGGAAAGCATTAACCAGCAATGAGAGAAATACAGACTGTTACTACACATAGTTTGATGAGGTGGTAAAACTTGTTTTCAGCATCAAGATCATTGATTTTCTGTAGCAGCTGAAGACAGGATAAAATTACTGCACTTAGATCCTTGTTGATCCTTCTATGTTAGCTAAATCCACAAAATAAATACATGTGTAAAATTAATCAGCTGATTCAGGGTCAGCTCTAATTCCCAAGGTCAAGTAACCCTCTGAATGTTCTCTAAGTACATAATCTTAGCACAATCCATCAAAGAGACTCTCACACTCTTTTTCTCTGTTGGCTCTTGTAAAACACTAATGTTTAGGAGATTAAGTGGAGTCAGCTTTAACAGACAGAGCAATTCTTCTAAAGTGCTCAACCTCTTCCCAAACTGGAAACCGTCTAAGGCTGGGTTTGCAAAATTATATTTCTACCTTTACAAGTGACCTGGAAATTACTCTTTACTAGTTGAAATACTGGGGCTTGTAACTGTCTTCTAGAAAGCACTGCAAGGGATGCGAGGTAATGGTTTTGAGCACGAAGCTTTTTAGGCTAAAAAAAATGCTTCCACAGCTTCACAAGACTCCGAGATGTGCTTATTGATGGGTACCACAAGCTGGAAATTTTGTTCATCATGTCTGGAAAAGAAACAATCCCTGCATACATATTTTAAGATTTGAGATTAGAGACACTGAACCTCCAGTGACTTTTACCTATTTCTGCCATGCTCCCAGGACTTTTGATCTCTCTTCTCTCAACAGAGATACGATTCCTGAAGGCTAATATGAGGTGGAGCATCACTGCCTTGTTGTCTTCTGTTCTAATGATAAAGTATTAAAAGCTAGAGATATTCTTAATATAAGCCAGGTAAGAAAGCTATGTATTAAAAAATTTAATATTCTTTTCTTTTTCAGAATTACGGTTTTATCCAAATCCTTGTCCTTTCACAAACCATTATATATGAGCAAGACCACAGATGTATAGAAAATCACACTGGAAGTAACAGTGAAGTATTTTTTTTTTTTTTAATTCTTTCGTTGCTCTTTTTATTTCTTTTTAAAAAACAAAGTAGTCTATCATAGTAATGACATGACATACCAATCACTTTTACCCAAAAATATTCTAAACCTTCAGGGGGCAGATTTTACATAAAACTTTTGTGAGCACCTCAGGCTGTGGGTGTATCCTGTGGGTGTATTTTGAAAATCCATGTCAGCAAAAATTTAACATGCTCTTTTTAGTTCTCTAGATACTTCACTCTCACACCACTCAAAAGCAGGCACCATAAAATTCATATAAATGTTCTTTACCTGATCGCATCTCATCAGCCCTAAATATCTGAGAGACTTGCTGCTTTGTGCAATTTGGGTGGCTCCATGGTCTGTGATTTCTTTGCACCATCCAACATCCACTGTCTCTATTGTCATGCTGTATTGTCCAATGGCTATCAGAGCTGTAAAGATATTAAAGGCATGAACTATGTAACTTGTAAAGATGGTAAGCTCAGTTCTATGTAAACATTAAACTATGTTTAAATTACAGTCTGAGAAGCAGTTGTCATGTACCTTGTAAAAGATCTTGCATTTATAACTAGGTAATAGCTGTCTCTTCACAGTTTTGCTGTTTTGTTTTCTTTTTTTCAGCAAAATAGTACTGCAAAGACAGCACAGAGAATAACAGGACATACTCCGTGTCACTAAAACACATGGCTTTAGAAAGCCCTACAAGTATCTTATGTCACGCATTTTATAACTATATTCAAAAATTGCATTTGTTTCCTATTGTTCATATTGATGAGGTAATACAATATGTCTCACTTTAACATTTTCCTCAGTGTTTTCCAATTAAAAATAATAATAATAAAAAAAAAAGGCTAGGAGGAATTAAAACAAAAACTTGAACCTTTATAAAAGGAAATGAAAAAGGATCTGGAAGTTCTGAAAGGACTGAAAAATGGAAGGTAGAAGGAACCACAAAGCACCTAAATAGGTTAGGATGGCTTTGACATGAGATGGCTAGTCTAGAATGGCAGAAAAGATACAAATCGCTAGCACCCCTGTCACCATGAATTAGAGCACTTTTCAGGAAATACAGGCTCAAAAACTGTTAAGTCAGGATTTATTAACAGAAATGAGCAGCTTAAGAAAAAGTCTGAGGTTATGATGCAGAAGTCAGCCATCTGCATAGAATCAAGGATGTTTACAGTTTCAACTCTAGTTATAATGTAGTTGCTGAAAAGATGAATGAGTGACTCAGACCAAATAATGTGAGTATCTTTAAAGGGCTGCTTTTGCAGCAGTTGCGGGCCAGTTCTGCTCCTGTTACAGAATATTCTGTCAGAAAAAGAAAATCAAAAAAAGAAAAAGAAAAAGCAGTTATGAAGACCTGGTAGCTCCTGATAAGCCAGATGCCAACCTTAGATAATCAGGGTGTGAGATCTAGAAGCACAGAGGAAGAACTCATCTGGCCTTGCAGTGGTTCTGCAAAGACCTGTATTGATGGTAGCCAGCAGTAAGAATAATTTGATAATTTATAAAAATTTAGGTGGATTTGATCTGAAAACAGAGCTGGCCAAAACAGGCCAAGCACATTCCCAGAATCTGTGGAAGGTGCAGTAGTACATTTTTTTTTATTTTATTGCAGCAATTCACCAAAAAGGACAACAAGAATTGCATTTTGTAACTGACATAATTAACTTATGATACAATCATCTACATAGTAGCTTTGTGGCTTCATTGATTTTTGTAGGACAATACCAACTTTCTGCTTTCTCCCAGTACATTTCTCGAAAACAAGTCTGAATTTTGCAAATACACAGATATATGAATAGCAGAACATAAACTTTTAACTTTTTTTCATAGCGTCCTTTTAAAATATCACTTTAATAACAATTTTAGAAAGAGACAGAACCTTTCTCCATATATTTAACAATAACAAAAGCTATAGCAATTATAAATTATTGTAACTCCACACAAAATGTTATAGATGTGAATTAGTGCAGGCATACTGAAAGCCTGCCAATACATTAGAATATTGTTGGTGAAACAAAATTACAAATATTTTTATGGGAGTGACATAAAAGATCAAGAAAACACACTGGTGAAAAATTCTTTTTAGTAAAAGCATCAAAGGAAATTAGAGATATAATTTTTGGGAGTTCTGTCACAAGACTTAGATTAGAGAGAAAGCTGGGGATGATGCTGTTGAAGACTAAAAAAGGCTGTTATACGTGTGCAGAATGCCCCAGACTAAGGTACAACCTGTGCACCATTAGTGCAAGGATTTGCTCTGAATGCGACAAAAAGAAGCCTTAAAGCATGAAATTTCATGCAGGCATCTTCATATGTACATACGAAACAAACTGGACGAATTAAAGATTTTGTCTTATACAACTTTTTCAAGCAGAACATTCAAAGAAAACCACTATATAACAAAACATAACTTAAAACATGTTAATTTATTGTTCAATACATTTCTCTGTATTCTGGCATTTGGGGTGGGGGTAAAGCATTTAATTCTACCGTAGGACTGTAGTGAAAACCCAGTTAAGTTTCATGTTTTTTTTCAATGCAAAGATAAAAATATTTTTATTTTTTGCATAATAGAAAAGGGACTTAGTAGTTATTGAAATAATTGCAAAATAATTATAAAATAACAGATCATGAAGGCTCTTTGCAAAACTGGCCTTCACTGCTTGTCTTCTGAACATCTGTACTTTAACCAGCCAATTATTGGTGTTACTTCTTCAGAGCATTAAAAGAATGAAAACGGGATTTGGAAAACATAAGTCAGTTTTCATAAATCAAACTATATATGTATGATTTTTGGAATGCATTCTGTCAAATATCAGGAAAGCCAGAACACAACTTTAACAATACCATGAGACAAAACCCATGTGTTTTGGAACAAGTAACAATGCTCACAAGAATAACACAAAGTGGAATAAAAAAACCCTCATGATGTTATGTGTCAATATGATACATTAAAAATAGGACTGAAATCAAAGAATTCCAACTGTGACATTTGGGGAGCAGGGTTTTCTAAGTGAGTATGTTTTGCAGTTCAGAGGTTTCCAACTGATTTTCAAACAACTGTTCATCTGTTTTCTTCACCTGTGTTCCACTTTGAGTATATGCAAAAAATTGAATGAAATTTCATGCTTTAATTAATCCGTGTGTCTAATTTGTGCATCAGGAATATCTTAGGCTAACTATGGTTGAGGTATACTTCAGATTAGGGACTGCTGAATGGATCATATTTTTGTCTGGCTGGCCTTTCCCTTGCAGCTTTCCTCGCCATTGTCTCAACCCTAACCGTTCCTACAGAGCCCCCAGGTGTCATATGCCCATATGCACATATTTGATTTTCTGTTTAGCAGTATTAAATAGCTGGGTATTCTCTAATACATAAGAACAATTGACAGCATTTTCTAATTTAATTACAAATTACACTACAAATCTGCATTTACTATGTGCAATTACTGCATTATAGATGCCTGAAGACATACAACATTCTGTCAGTGGAAAATAACATAATTATTTTGTACTTTGCAACTCTATGTCCTCAGATTAGTAGACTTCTGGAAAACCAAGTATTCTGAGAAGAGTGCGCAATGTTACACTGTTGTCATATATTGCAAAAGTTCATTTACCAGACACATAAAGGCTATGCCATTTTAAAGCACCAATGACCATATGTCCAGAAAAAGTCAGTGTCTGCAACTGCACCCTCGAAAGAACACTCTTGGTCAGACTACTAAGCTACTTAGCTTCTATTAGGACTCAGTAGTAGAAGATATAGGCCAGAAGGACAGGTGAGAATATAACAATGCTTTCCCACATAAACATAAAAAAAATCAGTCAGGGACTTTCTGAACCAGTTTTTATGCCTCTGCTTCTGTAAGTTCATGTAATTAGTCCTGTAGCCCACAAAATCTTTTAGGATCCACAATATCCTCCAGCAAGGAGTCCCTTGGTTCAGTTACCTTCTCTTTCAAAAACCACCTTCACTCGTTTGTTTTGAATCTGACCTAAAACTTCCTCCAGGACTTCCCCTTTTATGACTAGTTAGTTTCTTTGCAAATGCGTTCTGGAAATCATAACAGGCTCCATCAGCAAGGTCTTCCTTATTCCTTCCTGACTTCTTCAGAGTACTCTGTCCGATATGACTGTGAAGCGTGACCTCTTTAGCAAAAGCTGTGTCAGCTCTTCCTGGGTATGTCTTATTTATTCATGTGCTTACTAACCCTCCAGTAAGTAATCTGTATCATTACTAAAGTGCCTTATGCAAGACATCAGATTTACCAGTTAATATTTTTCTGATCTTCCCTAGAACTTTTTTTGAAGCACTCTGGACAGGCAATCCTGTGGTAGTCAAACAGTTTTAAGTGAAGGATTACATAGTGCAGTTAGGAGTTCGGCTATTTCATCTTTGAGCTCTTTTAGAAGACTTGAGTACACACAGCTCTTCTGCTTCTTTGAGCAAAATAGTTTAAACCACAAGTTTCAGCTAAGAAAATGTTTGCCTTGCTCAGCAGCTTTTCTTCCTCTCTGCATTTGCCCACAATAATCAGAATACATTGCTATTCTCAGAAAACTTGGCAGTAGTTTAACAAGGAAACACATGGTAAAAGCCTTAAAAACCATGTTTGGATCCTGAGACTTGGGAAGATGTAGCACAATCAGCAGCAAAGAACAGTCAAATGTGTGTTTCAACACTAATAGCAACCATGCTTAAAAGCCTACTGTGTGACCAAACAGAAGAACATAATAAATTGAAAGTTGAGGTGGGTACAATAGAACCCACTACATAGTTTAAAGATGCTGGCTTTAACATATGAACCTCTCTCTATGTGAATATTTAACAATGCATCCAATTCTTTTCTTTCCTTTTTTACATTCCCATTTCTTTTGGAAAAAGCAAGATTTCCTATTTCTTTTTCCAGCACAAGGTCGGAGGAATGGAAGTCAACTGGTGTATGGCACATACATAGCAGAAGATAAAGTGTAATGTCTCTAACTGGAGCTGGAAAATCACCCTCGCAGCCTTGAGCTATATTAAGCAAAAATGTTTTCCTGTTGTAACTGTACTTTGTTGTAGCTGAGAAGGTGAAAGGATATACGCAGGACCAGGTCTGTAGGCAGAAGTACCATCTTTTAGATGACCAGCTGGAGGAATTGGAAAAATAAGACAAATTTTGTCCTTAGTGCACCACTATTAAAAGCAAATAGTAATTTAGCCTCATTTTAAACTGCTTAAGCTAAACAGTCATAGCTAAATACATCTGTTACTACTGGCAGAAAGGACAGCCCTAGTCAGAGAGGAAAGGTCTCCATTTAACTGTGAAATCTATTTTGCAACATGAAAGTTGCAATGGTTAAACAATCCTTGGACCTCATTGAGGCAGGCACTGAGCTCTTACATCTAACAAAGCTGGGGGTAGATGAGACTGCCGTATTTACTTGCAGGATTGTGTC